CCCACGCCACTCCCTGCAACGGTGAAGGAGATCACAGCGTCACCACACACCGAGGCTGACAAAGAACCTCACAACCCCCGTCTTCAAGTCACAGGAACTCCAGTGGGCATTCCTGAAGTGGGTAAAGAAGCACATATATTATTAGAATCTACCGTGCATGCGGGAAGTGCATATACAGCAAAGAGTTCTCGGTATATAAACGCTGCTACCACCATCAAAACCTTTGTTGAAGAAGGACGAGAGGTTGAGTCTCTGGAAGAGTCGCAAGACACCCTCAGTACCCACGAGACGTATGTTGTGGCCGGTGAAGTAATGTCTTCTTCAGTCTTAGACCCAGCGAACCATGACACAGCCGACCCGGAGACCATTGCGGATAACACTGACGGGTTACATCCAGCCATAGGTGTCAGGCAGGTAGTGAAGCATATATCGTCCGAAGTGTCGAGAACCCTCCACAACTCCCCTGACCACGAGAGCACGATGGGGCTGCCACAACCTGACGCCGCCCACACCGACGAACACTTCTTCATGCACCCGCTGCCTCAGTTTCGGGAATCCGTCCGGGATCCAGAAGACACATCTGAGGAGCACCTGGATGATGTGACTGACTCGGAGAGTTCTTTCGATCAAACATTTGTGGTGCATCCACATCGTCCTTTTGGAGAGAATAGTAGAGATGAAGCACTTTCTCCTCATCACAGTGAAAGAGGACACAAAGTTCTTCAATTCCAGGGCCCGGTAGTAATGGAATCTCTGGATGAACCATCATTGGTTCCTCTAGTTGGACAGACAAAGGAAATCTTGACGTTAAAAGATGATGAAAAGGCCATTCTTGCACTTCTAAAAGTTGCCCAAGACTCCAACACCTTTGAGGACCCATTTCAGGTCAATTCCCTAATCCAAAACAACAATCAGGCCACTTCAAATACCGACCAACTTTACCCAACAATATCTTTTCTACACGAAAACGATACCCAGATTCCAGCTGATGAGTCTAACCCCAACGCTCACAGAACTGACTATGTAAGCCTTATTGACGAAAACAATGATCCAAGACTGTTAAAAAAGAAAGAATCTAAATCCCTCGATGCCAGGAAATCTGTGAACGCTATAGATGTCGAGGCTAAAGATGACGTCTCAGTGAAAGATAGCAGTGACGAGGCTGAAATCGGTGATGACGCAGTGGGTACCACAGCCAAACCTATATATGAGGAGATCTCTGACACGCTCAAGGTTGACACCAGTATAGATGACGTAGAAGACTTTGACTTACAGTTGAAACACACGGAAAATACGGATGACTTCCTTCCAACGACGAACCAGTCCCACCCGAATTTCATCGACGTCACTCTTCATGTCGACCACCAGAGTGGCGACAACACCACGCTCCCGACGCCATCCTCAACGCTCACACCCTTGTGGTCGACGGTCGAAGCTCCGCCAGCGCCGACCTCCAGTGACTCCAGCGAATACCCTGTCCACTACCCGCCCAAGCTCTCGGCGCGTCCGGATGTCGAAAGTACACCAACCACTGAGGGAGACACTGACGGCTGGTCGGTGTTCGTGGCTAACATCACCGGCCTCAATAGCACCAACGTGTCGCTGAACGAGTCGGTCTTCCAGAAGGTGTCCGGGGTGGCTCTGGAGGAGCACTACAAGCTCGTCCTCCACGAACGAGGTAAGTGTATGCACAGTGTCCCCCACCCCCTTGCAGTATTGTTTCACACACACACACACACACACACACACATGCACACATGCACACATGCACACATGCACACACACACACACACGCACACATGCACACATGCACACACACACGCACACAGTCAATCGGTCAGTATATTTTGAATTTGTTGAGAAAAATGTATGTAATATTTGAGGCTGGTGGTTGCTAATATTAGGGAATTCAGATTCATGGTTATTTGGCTATTTATATAGCCAATGGGGGTAGCCACTGGGCTACACCACTACACTAGGTGTAGCCACGAGGTGTAGCCACAAGGTGTAGCCACAAGGTGTAGCCACGAGGTGTAGCCACAAGGTGTAGCCACGAGGTGTAGCCACAAGGTGTAGCCACAAGGTGTAGCCACGAGGTGTAGCCACTGAGGGTAACCATTGGGCTGAAACACTCGCATGCTCCTTGTCCACTATACGGTATCGACCTTCAATAATATTATTTCAATAATATTATTGTTTACGGTAAACAATAAACACATCACAAATATGATAGGAATGCATCTACTAAGTAATGTAATGAATACGTAACCTGGGTGGACGAGTGGAAGTCAAAATGTAAAACAGTTAAATTTGTGCCAGGATAGTAGCAGCCATCCATCAGTCTCAGGATAGACTGTATGGTTTATAAGATGTTTCAGCTTTGATGGCTGTTAGTACTTTGAGGCCACACTCGCTAAAAGTGAGAAGGGAGCCCCTCAGAATGCTTCATTTACAAACATTTTCCAAACTCATTTGGGAGGTGATGCCTCGAGCCTCCTGGTGCAGGCGCCGAAGTAAACACCCGCACGGGCAACCACAGTTAATTGAACTGACTTTTAAACCTAACCACTTGCTCTGCATTTTGAAAATCTGTGTTGGCCCTTTTGTAACGTTTCTTCATCTTTCTCTCAATTTAATATCCGTCTTAATTTATCACTCTCGGCAGCTTTACTCTGTACTCCAAATGACTTATGTTTATGGTAAACAATAGTTTACCATAGGTGACCACTCCCCTTAATGACCTCTGACCGGGGGTTTCTCCTTACCATAAAGTTGCCTTTTTTCATAAGCATCTGTACTCACCTATTGGTGCTTGCAGGGGTTGAGCTCTGGCTTTTTGGTCCCGCCTCTCAACCGTCAATCAACTGGTATACAAATTCCTAAGCCTACTGGGCTCTGTATGCTGGTCCAAGTTATATATTCATTTTGTATAATATTTGACCTATAAAGTTAACCAACGAAGCTTTACGTCTGCAGACAATAACATTCCTCCAGAAGCTGCTAATTTATTAATTCTATTTTATGAATTATTGTGAAATATACTTTGTTAAACATTACATGAGCGCGATGTTTCAGCAGACAACCCTTTTCTCATTTTCTAGCGTTCAGTCAAATCCCACAGAATGTTTAATAAAAAGAAAGCAACCACCGCGAAGGTTTAAAGGAGACACCCCAAGATGGCGCGAAGTTCCCCTCCGTCCTCTCCACACACCGTAATATTGCCCCCACCACCCGGAGTCCTAGTGATGGCAACATGGGCGCCACACTGCCAGTATCGTGGCAACTTTCATCGTCGCCTTTTGTTTATTGTATCCTCAGTAAAGGCGAATCTCGCTGCAAATGACGGAAGTAAAGCTTTATTCGTGCAGTCAGTGATGGGGTGCGGTACGCTGGCGGCGCTACCAACCTCGGAATGGCTACTTCCCGCCACCCTTCTTGTCCGATAACGGCAGACACCAGGCGCACATACCAGGGGCCAGATTCACGAAAGCACTTACGCAAGTACTTACGAACCTGAACATCTTTTTTCAATCTTTGGCGGCTTTGTTTCCAATTATTAAACAGTTTTCAAGCATGAAAACTTCCCAACCAACTGTTGTTATTGTTATAAACAGCCTCCTGATGCTTCGGAGCTCATTAACTGTTTAATAATTGTAAACAAAGCCGCCAAAGATTGAGGAAAGATGTACAGGTTCGTAAGTACTTGCGTAAGTGATTTCGTGAATCTGGCCCCAGCTCCTCTTCTACAACCGCCGCGCTCTTTAACACATACAGCAATGGCGAAGTTATTTGTAAATTATGCGAACATTACATAGATACTTTTGAAATAAATTTCACGTCTAAAGATGGACGAAAATGCATTATTGCTCTTTCTTAAATTACGCCGGAAAATTTTGGCGGGAAGCCGAGGAGAGCCGTAGAGGAGGAGGGAGAGGGAGGGCCAACCCCCTAGACGCATCGTCACCATCAGCATGATATATGGTTATCCTGGTGGCTGGCTGGTTATCCTGGTGGCTGGCTGGTTATCCTGGTGGCTGGCTGGTTATCCTGGTGGCTGCGTCCCGCTGCTGCTTCACATTCTCCCACCGTCTTCGGCTCTTCTTCGCCACAACTGAGGGAAGCCTGGTTCACAGTATATGAAAATATTGACCACATTCCTCAACATATCAATTCTTCTATTGTTAGTCCTGTATAAAATCGGAGCATTCACTTCCTGTAATGAGTTGTTTAAAATCTGAAAAGAAAATTAGGTTTAAATAAATATATGGATAGTTAGGGCACAATATTCTGCATAGACATCACATGATTCCATGTGAAACTTCCGGTTTCATCACATGAGATCAGAAGGCATGGCAGGATGTGCAGAATACCCCCCGTTGACAAGCAGAGTACTCTGAGGTACTCTGAGAGAGAACTCTATCAACATCAGAGGCCCGAGACTGTTCAACACGCTTCCGCTACACATAAGGGGCATAACTGGCTGACCCCTCACAGTGTTCAAGAGAGAACTTGACAAACACCTCCAAAGGATACCTGATCAACCAGGCTCTGACTCATACGTCAGGCTGCGATCAACCGCGTCCAACAGCCTGGTTGACCAGTCCAGTAACGAAGAGGCCTGGTCGACGACCGGGCCGCGAGGTCGCTAAACCCCGAAATCATATCAAGGTAACCTCAAGATATAGACTTGTAAACCGAACTTAAAAAATATCCTCGACATGCATGGCACTGAATATAATGGAAAGAGTTAGATCAATGAATCTGGCGTGAATACCTCTATATTCCTCAGGTTCTTTGCAAGGGAAGAAAGATTGAAAACTGACTCGCTATAGTTCCTTTTACGCCTATTTATAGGCTTGATGAACTCAGCCCAACTTAGCGTTGTTAAGGGCAGAGTGAATACAAAACATTGACAATAACAAGAGAGAGAGAGAGATGTATTCTTGTGAGAGAATAGGTGGTACTGTACCCTGACGAGACGACAGTGTAATCCATGAGAAAATCACTGGAACCAGCCCAGACAGGGATGGAACTAGCCTCGTGGTTAACACTAGCCGCACGCCATCCCCCCCCCCCCATCCCTAGGCTAGAACATACTGAAGGCTATTCAACTTGTGACCCGCCCGAGTCCAATAGGAGGTATGGAGGACATTGTAATCCAGTCCTTCATTCTCATTGGTCGTCTGTGCCCTAAACTGGTACTTCTCTCTCGTATTCGTGCAGAAGGAAGGGCGAATATAGATACGAGCTGCCGGTTCATAAATGGGTGAGAGTATTTGATGTCAAATGCTTTTGCTATGACTATCCTCACTTATTGTTGCTATATCTATCGATTATTCTGGTGTGTTTTTTTCCGGTCAGTGTAGTTTTTGTGAGGGGTCTGGATGTGTATAAATTATATTACCTGCAATCGAACCTTGTTTGTGCAATGTCAGGAACCTTGGAAGATTTGTTTGGCATCTTGTCTATATATTGGAAGCGTTAGAGCCGACATTCTCCGGTGGAATGACAATGATTCGTGCATAAATGTGACAGTTATAGGAATTAAAACCATTGCCAGCTTTCCTCAGAGCATAGATCCAGTCAAGAGTGTACTTTCTATGTCCTGAACACTGCTCTGAAGTACTCGAATTCATGTATTAAATTTGAGCTCACACAGATTAGTCAGTCAAGATTACACAACTCTAGAGTATCTGATTGTCAATTACATTTTGCATTTAATTGTAAATTCCAGTCTCTTTTTCTCACACATTTGAAGTCTTGCCTTCAAATGCAGGATTTATAAGAAATTTTCCTAATACATAAAACACATGTAATATATTTATGTCAGAGAACATCAGACGAAATTACAAGTAATTACAAGTGGCCTAAGTTACAAGTGGCCTAAATATTATGTTATATTTATACTTGCCACTTGTTAAGTTACAAGTGGCCTAAATATTATGTTATATTTATACTTGCCACTTGTTAAGTTACAAGTGGCCTAAATATTGCCACAGAGTCCGTGGTTATTTGACATTGCAAATTCTAGTTTTATCAAATGCTAATTCAAAATTGCAGCTCACTATTGGTCGTCAGTGTGTCATTGTCGCCCTTGATAATCAAATGTCCTCGATAATACGTATATGAATGTGGTTGAGATAGATTAGCTTGAAATTATATTGGGTTGAAACATTTTATATAAATGCTAGACTGGCTTGTGATGAATATAGAGATGATGAATATAGAGATGATGAATATAGAGATGTGATGACGTGCACTGTGTTACAGGGAGCCTGATGCTGCAGCTGATGGACCCAGCGGCGGACCCCTGCCACGACTTCTACCAGTTTGCCTGCGGCAGGTGGAATGGCAAGTTCCCCATTAGGCAAGACAAGGTGAGCATGACCTAGTCAGATACCATATACCTGGTAAGCATACGCCCTAGTAAGCACTAGGCATCTAGTGCCTAGACGCCATGGTTAATATACTAGACACACTTGGGCCACATTCACGAAGCAGTTTCGCGAGCACTTACGAACCTGTACATCTTTTCTCAATCTTTGGCGGCTTTGTTTACAATTATTAAACAGTTAATGAGCTCTGAAGCACCAGGAGGCTGTTTATAACAATAACAACAGTTGAATGGCAAGTTTTTATGCTTGTAAACTGTTGAATAAATGTAACCAAAGTCGTCAAAGATTGAGGAAAGATGTACAGGTTCGTAAGTGCTTGCGTAACTGCTTCGTGAATCTGGCCCAAGGCTTGTACCAGAGCTCGGATAATTTCGGATATCTAAACAACTAAAACTTTCATCGTTGGGAATAAGAACCAAAGGAGACATTAAGTACTTGTTCTTAAGTACTTGCGTAACTGCTTCGTGAATCTGGCCCCCCTGGGCTATACTACTATACTATATTGATCTTATCTATCAATATCACTGGTATAAAAATGGGGAAATATTTGCCATTGTTCGTTGAATTATACAGAACTGTTATTTATAGACGAGTGAGCTTTCGTGATAAGGTTATTTATTCCATGCCTGGCATGGTGCCTGATCTCACCATGTCCTCGCTGCACCACCATGCTTCTGTACCCGCTTCCTGCTTCCCAGGATCATTCATGTCTTGGACATGTCCCCCCCCCCCTCTCTCTCTCTCTCTCTCTCTCTCTCTCTCTCTCTCTCTCTCTCTCTCTCTCTCTCTCTCTCTCTCTCTCTCTCTCTCTCTCTCTCCTCTCTCTCTCTCTCTCTCTCTCTCTCTCTCCTCTCTCTCTCTCTCTCTCTATACCCAGCCTCCCTGGGTAGAGAGAGAGAGAGAGGTATTATTCGGTATTAATACCTCTCTACTCAGTATTAATTCCCTTGTCACTCCCGGTAACCTCTCCATTCCCCACCAGCCGTAACCACCTTCTCCACCAACAGGCGGTGGACAATACCTTCGAGCGCCTGAAGGAAGACTTGGACGACGTGTTGAGGTCGTTGTTAGAGGAGCCGCCCCTCGACGATGATAACATCACCACAGCCGTCAAGACTCTCTACACCGGATGTATGAATACGGGTGAGTGAGGTAGAGCAAACTTGTGATTGTTGATGACTCTGGGGTTAAACAATCGAGGCTCTAGACGCCAAGCCGTTGCTGGACCTGCTGAAAGAGCTGGCCGGGTGGCCGGTGCTGGAGGGCCTTCGTTCCCGTATAGGGGATATGTCACCGAGCCTCGCTGTGATATGGCTCTCTGTTGGCGGGAGGTGACCCCCGGGAGGCAGATGCTTGGCGGCCCTCGGCTACACGCAAAGGAGGCGCAGACGACCCAAGACTGTCGACACGTCTGCCCTCTGAACTCCGGATAGTCGAGCAAAACAAACAGCTGAGCCCAGAATTTTTTTTCCTGACGCCGTGCACATCCGGAGGGCAAATCCAGATGCTGTCAATACCAGCCTACTCACTGCGGCTCTCGGCCAGGCGGAGGCTGGATCCAGGCTCTCCTCACTCTTTGATCTAACCTTAAAAATTAAAAAAAATGTATGAGCGTCCTGTGTTCCCAGGCACTATGTGCGCCAGACTTCGTATCTGTCGAGAATGGTATAAATGAATGCCTTACGGAAGGCATCCAGAGGTTAAAAATTGTGGCACGTTTTCAGGGGACCTTCGGCAGCCTGTCCTCAGGCCTGGCTCGGTAAAATAGCGGCCGTTCCCCAAGACCCATTCGTAAAGCTGCTCCCGGCGAAATAAAAATTTGGTTTGTTCCCATATCTAAATTAATCTTAGTATATTAAATTTCTCTGTATAATTAGTTTAGATTATTTTAGGTTAGGTGGGGTTAGGTTATTTGTTTAGGTTCTGTTAGCGATTATTTGTATTTGAAGTCCGTGGCTGAAGCATTTATTTGGGATTCGAATAGATGTCAATAGCCATCGCGTCCCCATCAACAAAAGCCAAAGGTGATTATATGCAGCCGCCAGACCCCCCTCCCCCCCTGTTTATGATTACTATTACATTCTATTTGAGAAAATATTGTTTTTGGTTACACAGTCTGATAAAAAATTTCGAATGCGTCTTTGAGGTCAGGTTGGACGAGCATAAACTGAAAACAGGTCGTCAAATTTGACTAATATTATTGCTGACTCATGTATATAAACCATTTATGTTTGTGATGAACAATGGAGGCACCAGGACACTGCCCTGGGCCACTCCAACTGTTTCTGACTCTGACTTTATCATATTTATATTCACCCTCATTGTGAGAAAAGTCTCTCTCTCTCTCTCTCTCTCTCTCTCTCTCTCTCTCTCTCTCTCTCTCTCTCTCTCTCTCTCTCCTCTCTCTCTCTCTCTCTCTCTCTCTCTCTCTCTCTTTCTCTCTCTCTTCTCTCTCTCTCTTTCTCTCTCTGTCTCTCTCTCTCTGTTCTCTCTCTCGTCTCTCTCTCTCTCTCTCTCTCTCTCTCGCTCTCTGCTCTCTCTCTCTCTCTCTCTCCTCTCTCTCTCTCTCTCTCTCTCTCTCTCCTCTCTCTCTCTCTCTCTCTCTCTCTCTCTACTCTCTCTCTCTCTCTCTGTCTCTCTCTCTGTTTCTCTCTATCTCTGTCTCTATCTCTATCTCTATCTCTATCTCTGTCTCTGTCTCTGTCTCTCTCTTCCTCTGTCTCTGTCTCTGTCATTCTCTCTCTCTCTCTCTCTCTCTCTCTCTCTCTCTCTCTCCTCTCTCTCTCTCTCTCTCTCTCTCTCTCTCTCTCTCTCTCTCTCTCTCTTCTGGTTCACTTCATCTTACTGCCTTACCTCTCCTCACCTCATCCCACAGTCTTGTCTTACGCCTTTACCTCGCCTTCTGCAGAAGCAATCGAGGCCCTAGACGCGAAGCCGTTGCTGGACCTGCTGAAGGAGCTGGGCGGGTGGCCGGTGCTGGAGGGCGACGCCTGGAACGACACGGGGTACGACTGGGTGCGACAGATGGCTCGCCTTCGCAACTACAACAACGACATCCTTATCTCTGAGTGGGTCGCCGCCGACATCACCAACTCCTCCAACCACATAATACAGGTCCTCATGCCTCCAACGTCATCATAAGTAATAACGCATTTCCGTCAAGTGCTATCCAGTTATCTCATCTGCATGTTGCTTGCGAACCTCTGCATAACCGCCATTTTTTTCCTGGTTTCCAGTTGGACCAGCCCGAGTTGGGTTTGCCAGGAAGAGAGTACTTCATCAATCCGGGCGACTACCAGTACCGGGAGGCCTACCTCAACCTCATGCTTAACGTCACCCAGCTCCTCGGGGCCTCCGTCGACACCTCCCTCGTCGACATGGCCGACGTCCTCCAGTTCGAAAAACAGATCTCCCGGGTGAGTGCTCCGGCGAGGCGGACTTTTGTAACAGAAAACGGTTGTTGATTATTGTCAACATGTAACTAGCCGCCACATTAACAACACGACCCCTGCTGCTGATTAAACACTAAAGGGTTATTAAGAGCAGCTAGGTGTTATGATTCCCCAGTTATTAACAGTTGAGTAAGAAGCAGCGGGGGGAAAAAAGGCAATTAAACGAACATTTTTATTTTAAGGAAAATATAGTGTATGTTCAGCAGAACAAGTCTCTCGTGCGCTGTCATCTGTACTACTGGAGCCAAGCGCCTGACAGCTGGGTGGACAGCGCTTCGGATTCGTAGTTCTGAGGTTCCGGGTTCGATCCCCGGTGGAAGCGGAGACAAATGGGCAAAATGTTTCTTTCGCCCTGATGCCCCTGTTACCTAGCAGTAAAATAGGGACGTAGGAGTTAGACAGCTGCTACGGGCTGCTTCCTGGGGGATGTGTAACAAACAGGAGGCCTGGTCGAGGACCGGGCCGCGGGGACGTTAAGCCCCGAAATCATCTCAAGATACCCTCAAGCATGGAGACGTCACCTTCATAAGGACAAACATTCTCTGGAAACAAGAGGCAACAAAGCCGCAAAAATCGTCATAAAAGTGTCAACTTTCATAACAAGAATGATTGAGGTCCAAGAACCACAAACCAGACATGACAGGGCTGATCTTCTCGAAACCTTTAAAATATTCTGCAAATTATAAGTTATTAATCAGATCTCTTATTTTAAAAGTGCAATGTAACACACTCACACACAAGGGGCAACAACTTCAAGCTCATAAGGACACTCAAGAGTCTCAAGGTGCCACAATGTAAGACAGAAAACACATGCTTTTTTTCCATCCATTGTTTCTAAACCCATGAAATCACCTACCTGCCGAAGTCGTAAATGCCACGACAGAACTCCTGCTTCCAGTTCAAAATTAAGTTTTAAAAGTCCTCGTGAATAATGGAGGGGGCGGGAACATTTGACAAGCTGCCGGCCCTCTGGTAAAGCAAGATAACAGTTGTTTACATAAGCATTTTCTTTAACACTTGTTTACATCAGCATTTTCTTTACGCTATCTTAAGCCTTTTGAAACCTTCGAAGAATTCCTGTAAGAGTGGAGTTGTTGTGTATACACAATATGCAACGCCTGCGCAGACGCCTGCGTGAAGCCTGCGTGACGCCTGCGTGAAGCTACGCGACGCCTGCGCGAAACCTGCGCGAAGCTACGCGACGCCTGCGCGAAACCTGCGCGAAGCTACGCGTCGCCTGCGCGAAGCCTGCGCGAAGCTACGCGAAGCCTGCGTGAAGACTGCGCGAAGCCTGCGCAAACGCTCGAGAATGATAAGTTAATGATGAACTTTAACAAATAAAACTATGGCTATGAACGCTAACAAAAATAAACGGCTGTACTTGATGGAAGTGTTTGTCCATGTATAGTTTAAATTTAACATTAATCATACAGTTAATCATTATAATCGGTCAAGGAACCTTGACGTGTTTGCTGGGTAGAATTGTTCCGTTGAGTAACTGCGACTGTTGCCTCCCAGATCCTGACCGCCGCCGAGGAGCGCCGCAACCTGTCCGCTGTCCACCGCCGGATGACTGTCCAGGAGCTCAGTGCCCAGGTGCCCGAGGTGAGTGTCCAGGTGCCCGAGGTGAGTGTCCAGGTGCCCGGGGTGAGTGTCCGGGTGCCCGAGGTGAGTGTCCAGGTGCCCGAGGTGAGTGTCCGGGTGCCCGAGGTGAGTGTCCGGGTGCCCGAGGTGAGTGTCCGGGTGCCCGAGGTGAGTGTCCGGGTGCCCGAGGTGAGTGTCCGGGTGCCCGAGGTGAGTGTCCGGGTGCCCGGGGTGAGTGTCCGGGTGCCCGAGGTGAGTGCCCAAGTGCCCGAGGTGAGTGTCCGGGTGCCCGAGGTGAGTGTCCGGGTGCCCGAGGTGAGTGTCCGGGTGCCCGAGGTGAGTGTCCCGGGTGCCCGGGGTGAGTGTCCAGGTGCCCGAGGTGAGTGTCCAGGGCCGAGGTGAGTGTCCGGGTGCCCGAGGTGAGTGTCCGGGTGCCCGAGGTGAGTGTCCGGGTGCCGAGGTGAGTGTCCGGGTGCCCGAGGTGAGTGTCCGGGTGCCCGAGGTGAGTGCCCAAGTGCCCAGGTGCCCGAGGTGAGTGCCCAAGTACCCAGGTGCCCGAGGTGAGTGCCCAAGTACCCAGGTGCCCGAGGTGAGTGCCCAAGTACCCAGGTGCCCGAGGTGAGTGCCCAGGTGCCCGAGGTGAGTGCCCAGGTGCCCGAGGTGAGTGCCCAAGTACCCAGGTTCCCGAGGTGAGTGCCCAGGTGCCCGAGGTGAGTGCCCAAGTACCCAGGTGCCCGAGGTGAGTGCCCAAGTACCCAGGTGCCCGAGGTGAGTGCCCAAGTACCCAGGTGCCCGAGGTGAGTGCCCAAGTGCCCGGGTACCCGAGGTGAGTGCCCAGGTGGCCGGCCGCAGGATGATGTGTGGATGTTCTGGTTGCAGGTGGACTGGAGGATGTACCTGGAGACCATCACCTGGCGAAATAACAACACACAAGAACTGGTCGTCTTCGGCCTCGACTACTTAAAA